AACAAAGTATTTGTACTTAATACACAAAAACTCTACTTACTGTATTTATTCATGTATAATACGATCATCATTTTTTGAGCTTAAAAAGTATTAAAAATCTAATCATCAATAACCCGTGTATAATACCACCCCCTCACTTTATGGATGATTTTTAGGATTAAATTTCTAGTATTATACATGAATAAATACAGTAGTTGCTTGGCACAATGACATGTTACAAATAAAACTAAATCAAGAACAAACAATTTAAAAGTAAAATTCTCCTCTAAAGTCATTATTTGGGATAAAGTGTCACATTAATTTCATTATCATAGCTATAGCAGTGAATTTAAAACAGTATGATTCAACTAGAATCTGTCTCTATTTAGTTATTTTATCAAGTGTTTTTTATGTAGATAAACGTATGTTTAGGAACCTGGTAAAATACACCAGAATGCAGGAAACTGCATCTACTAATTTCAAAATTATCTGGGGGAGGACCCCCAGATCCCCCACTAATGGCCCCCTCACACACATTACAATGCTTCTGATGCTCTTGGTTTAATGTTTATGTTAAATTATTGCACCACAGCAGAAACATTTGGTTTGTTGTTAATGAAGTGTGAAGACCCCCCAAGAACTTGATATGAGGGACGATCTCTACAGCAGTATTGTTGATGAGGAGTGGGGTGTGCTCAGGCTGATTTTTCCTGAAGTCGATCACCAGTTCTTTTGTTTTCTCCACGTTTAGATGCAGGTTGTTGTTGCCACACCATTGTACAAAGAGGTCCACCTCCTGTTTGTAGTGTTTGTTCTCACCATCCTGGATGAGACCCACCACTGTTGTGTCATCCGCATACTTAATGATGTGATTCGTCTTGTATTTGACACAGCAGTCATAGGTCATCAGGGTGTAAAACAAAGCCATGAGGGTGACGATCATTGCTCCCACTGGACAGAAAGGACGGGGGCGGGACTGAGCCACAGACCCAGAAGAAAACATGGAAGTCCTGCATGCTGCAGTTCTGATGCGCACATTTTTGCAGATAGTACAACTGCAATAGCATTTAAAATGTCAGAAGCAGCTAATTTAATGGTGGTTCTGTGATGATATTCTAATTTTGGAGCGACGTCAGTGAATGTGTCCCATGACCCAAAGGAGACGAGGTGCTCTGCGTGTTCTGATCCACTACATGCTGCAGTAGAGCTGCTAACAGGAGACGATGAAACAGGTATGATTTCAGTTTATTTAGCTCAGCAACGGTGGCCTGTGAAGTCCAAAAAGGTGCATGTTTAATGCAGTTGGTTCGGTTAGAGTCCGGTCTGTATTCACACCAGAAGAGATCTAAAGTGAACCGCACCAGAGTTCGTTTCGAAAAGTGGGTCTCAGTCCGGCTGTTTGATCAGCACCAGAGTTCGCATGAGTGTATTCACACCTGCAGAAAAGGTCCKGACCAACGCTGGAAAYGAACTCTGGTTCATTTAAAGCAGAGCAAATTGTCAGGTCTGAATATGAACTAAAAGTCAGTTATCAAGCATCTCAGTCTTACTTTAAGTGAAGTGTAGGAGTGATTCTTAAGTGTCAGTCTTAGAGCTGATTTGCGACACCTGGCTGTGCTGCAAAGCTGATCCTGGATGACTCATTAGAAAAACCACTGGCATGAACCAATCACTGCCTCTGATTTCATGTTCAAGAATATGGTCAGAGAAATGTCAAGATAAGACTGTGAAAATCCTGAGATAAATTCACTTTCAACACACCAATGTTGTCACCTTGTACTGATTGTCTGTAAATTACATAAAATGTCCTCATTTGCATCATGAATACAGACAAAAATCTCAWATTTTTTAATCAAAAACTCAGCAGCTTTAACGTTTTTTTAATGTCTCAGAGCCTGAGGTAATGTTGGGCTGTTTGCACYCTTCTCCTCGCCACTGTCCTCGAACAACACCCACTTCACACATCATTAACAGCTTGGTATTTTCTCCAAAAGCCACACATAAATATTCGCCTTTTAGTCCAACATTATGCAGTTTATTTATTTATTTAACCTTTTGTTTCTTTTTTTATTTGAGAACCTGTTTTCCACATCTTATAACTACGAATAACACTCAGTTAGGGGAGGACGACAGCTGTGTTTTCTGTGTGATCTCTGTCTCCTCAGTCCATCTCAGACCCATGGTGGTAACTCTGAACTACTTTAGAGTCCTCTGGAGCAGTCTGAACTTTTCAGGAGAGTAAGAGTGATTCTTAGACTTAAGAATTTTGATAACTGGTACTTACACTTAAGACCGAGAGTAGGAATAGATCTAAGAATATTTCAGCACTTAAGTCTAAAAGTCCATTCTATGAAGTTTTATAAATACGGGCCCTGGTTATCTACAGTGGTTTGCAAAAGTATTCATACCCCTTGAACTTTTCCATATTTTGTCACATTACAACCACAAACATAAATATATTTCACTGGAAT